TAATTGCCCCATTCTGTCCAACTCTTCCCCATGCTAATGCCCCATCTGCCCGGCTCTTCCCCATGCTAATGCCCCATCTGTCCAACTCTTCCCCATGCTAATGCCCCCATCTGCCCGGCTCTTCCCCATGCTAATGCCCCATCTGGCCAACTCTTCCCCATGCTAAGTCCCCCATCCTGCCCGGACTCTTCCCCATGCTATGTCCACATCTGTTCCAACCTTCCCCATGCTAATGTCCCATCTGTCCAACTCTTCCCCATGCTAATGCCCCATCTGTCCAACTCTTCCCCATGCTAATGCCCCCACCTGCCCGGCTCTTCCCATGCTAATGCCCCATCTGCCCGGCTCTTCCCCATGCTAATGCCCCATCTGTCCAACTCTTCCCCATGCTAATGCCCCATCTGTCCAACTCTTCCCCATGCTAATGCCCATCTGCCAACTTTCCCCATGCAATGCCCCATCTGTCCAAGCTCTCCCCATGCTAAATGCCCCATCTGTCCAACTCTTTCCCATGCTAATGCCCCATCTGTCCAACCCTTCCCCATGCTAATGCCCCATCTGTCCAACTCTTCTCCTGTCCACTCTTTCCCCATTCTAATGTCCCATCTGTCCAACTCTTCCCCATGCTAATGTCCCATCTGTCCAACTCTTCCCCATGCTAATGCCCATCTGTCCAACTCTTCCCCATGCTAATGCCCCATCTGTCCAACTCTTCCCCATGCTAATGTCCCATCTGTCCAACTCTTCCCCATGCTAATGTCCCATCTGTCCAACTCTTCCCCATGCTAATGCCCCATCTGTCCAACCCTTCCCCATGCTAATGCCCCCATCTGCCCGGCTCTTCCCCATGCTAATGTCCCATCTGTCCAACTCTTCCCCATGCTAATGTCCCATCTGTCCAACCCTTCCCCATGCTAATGCCCCATCTGTCCAACTCTTCCCCATGCTAATGCCCCATCTGCCCGGCTCTTCCCCATGCTAATGTCCCATCTGTCCAACTCTCCCCATTCTAATGTCCCATCTGTCCAACTCTTCCCCATGCTAATGCCCCATCTGTCCAACTCTTCCCCATGCTAATGCCCCATCTGTCCAACTCTTCCCCATGCTAATGCCCCATCTGTCCAACCCTTCCCCATGCTAATGCCCCCATCTGCCCGGCTCTTCCCCATGCTAATGCCCCATCTGTCCAACTCTTCCCCATGCTAATGCCCCATCTGCCCGGCTCTTCCCCATGCTAATGTCCCATCTGTCCAACTCTTCCCCATGCTAATGCCCCATCTGCCCGGCTCTTCCCCATGCTAATGTCCCATCTGTCCAACTCTTCCCCATGCTAATGCCCCATCTGTCCAACTCTTCCCCATGCTAATGCCCCATCTGTCCAACCCTTCCCCATGCTAATGCCCCATCTGTCCAACTCTTCCCCATGCTAATGTCCCATCTGTCCAACTCTTCCCCATGCTAATGCCCCATCTGTCCAACTCTTCCCCATGCTAATGCCCCATCTGTCCAACTCTTCCCCATGCTAATGTCCCATCTGTCCAACTCTTCCCCATGCTAATGTCCCATCTGTCCAACTCTTCCCCATGCTAATGCCCCCATCTGTCCAACTCTTCCCCATGCTAATGCCCCATCTGTCCAACTCTTCCCCATGCTAATGCCCCATCTGTCCAACCCTTCCCCATGCTAATGCCCCATCTGTCCAACTCTTCCCCATGCTAATGCCCCATCTGTCCAACTCTTCCCCATGCTAATGCCCCATCTGCCCGGCTCTTCCCCATGCTAATGTCCCATCTGTCCAACTCTTCCCCATGCTAATGCCCCATCTGCCCAACTCTTCCCCATGCTAATGCCCCATCTGTCCAACTCTTCCCCATGCTATGTCCCATTTCCCAACCCTTCCCCATGCTAATCCCCATCTGTCCAACTGTTCCCCATGCTAATGCCCCATCTGTGCAATCTGTTCCCCATGCTAATGCCCCATCTGTCCAACTCTTCCCATGCTAATGCCCCATCTGCCCAACCTGTCCCCATGCTAATGCCCCATTCTGTCCAACTCTTCCCCATGCTAATGCCCCATCTGTCCCACTCTTCCCCCTGCTAATGCCCCATCTGCCCAACCCTTCCCCATGCTAATGCCCCATCTGTCCAACTCTTCCCCATGCTAATGTCCCATCTGTCCAACTCTTCCCCATGCTATTGCCCCATCTGTCCAACCCTCCCCATGCTAATGCCCCATCTGTCCAACTCTTCCCCATGCTAATGCCCCATCTGTCCAACCCTTCCCCATGCTAATGCCCCATCTGTCCAACTCTTTCCCCATGCTAATTCCCCATCTTTCCACCTTTCCCCATGCTAATGCCCCTCTGCCCAACCCTTCCCATGCTAATGCCCCATCTGTCCAACTCTTCCCCATGCTAATGCCCCATCTGTCCAACTCTTCCCCATGCTAATGCCCCATCTGTCCAACCCTTCCCCATGCTAATGCCCCATCTGTCCAACTCTTCCCCATGCTATGCTACTTTGCTCGTTCTGTTAATGCCCCATCTGTCCAACCCTTCTTCCCATGCTATGCCCCATCTGTCCAACTCTTCCCCTGCTAATGCCCCATCTGTCCAACTCTTCCCCATGCTAATGCCCATCTGTCCACCCTTCCCCATGCTAATGCCCATGCTTGTCCAACCTTCCCCATGCTAATGTCCCCTCTTCCAACTCTTCCCATGCTAATGCCCCCATCTGTCCAAGCTCTTCCCCATGCTAATGCCCCATCTGCCCGGCTCTTCCCCATGCTAATTGCCCCATCTGTCCAACTCTTCCCCATGCTAATGCCCCATCTGTCCAACTCTTCCCCATGCTAATGCCCCCACCTGCCCGGCTCCTCCCATGCTAATGCCCCATCTGCCAACCTCCTTCCCACCATGCTAATGCCCCATCTGTCCAACTCTTCCCCAATGCCTAATGCCCATCTGTCCAACCCTCTCCCCATGCTAATTGCCATCTGTCCACCCCTTCCCCATGCTAATGCCCATCTGTCCAACTCTTCCCAATGCTAATGCCCCCATCTGTCGCAGCCTTTCCCCATGCTAATGCCCCATCTGTCCCAACTCCTCCCCATGCTAATGCCCCATCTGTCCCACTCTTTCCCCATGCTAATGGCCCCATCTGTCAACTCCTTCCCCCTGCTAATGCCGCATCTGTCCAACCTCTTCCCCATGCTAAGCCCCATCCTGTCCAACTCTTCCCATGCTAATGCCCATCTGCTCCATACCCCTCCCCATGCTAATGCCCCATCTGTCCCCACTCCTTAGCCCCATCTGTCCAACTCTTCCCCATGCTAGTCCCATCGTCCACTTCTTCCCCATGCTAATGCCCCATTGCCCGGCTCTTCCCATGCTAATGCCCATCTGTCCCAACTCTTTCCCCAATGCTACTGCCCCATCTGCCCGGCTCTTACCATGCTATGCCCCTCTGTCCAACTCTTCCCCATGCTAATGCCCCATCTGCCCGGGCTGCTTTCCCATGCTACTGCCCCCATCTGTCCAACCCTTCCCCATGCTAATGCCCCATCTGTCCACCGATTCCCCATGCTAATGCCCCATCTGCCCAACTCTTCCCCATGCTAATGCCCCATCTGTCCAACTCTTCCCCATGCTAATGCCCCATCTGTCCAACTCTTCCCCATGCTAATGCCCCATCTGTCCAACTCTTCCCCATGCTAATGTCCCATCTGTCCAACTCTTCCCCATGCTAATGCCCCATCTGCCCGACTCTTCCACATGCTAATGCCCCCATCTGTTCAGCTTTTTTTTTAATCCTCACCCGAGGATATTTTTCCATTTTTTGTTCAGATAGAGCGGGAGGGAGAGAGAGAGAGAGAGAATCATCGACGTGAAAGGGACACATCGAGTGGCTGCCACCCACACGACCAACCAGGGTCGGGGACAAACTGCAACCGAAGTACGTGCCCTTAGCGGGAACCAAACCCGGGTCTCTCCGGTCCTCACGCCGACGCTCTAACCGCTGAGCCAAACTGGCCAGGGCTCTGTTCAGCTTTTTATGCTCATGCAAAAATATATTTTTATTTCTTCCTTCACGGAGCTTCAGGAAATCACACAAGTCAAGTCCCTACCTATGACCCAGCAACTCCACTTCTAGCTATTCTTCCAGGAGAAACAGGGGCATAGCCCACAGGAAAGACAAGGGCTGGTAGACGAGTGTTCATAGCAGCCCATGGAAACCACCCCATGGCGAACAGATACACAACTGTGGCGCATTTGTGCGAGTAACTCACTCAGCGTCAACAACGATGAACCAACCACGTACGTGCAGCAACACCTCAAACGCTGGGTGCAAAGAAGCCAAACTAAAAAACCCACAAACAAACACAAATGCTAAATTTGTGTTCCACTTACATGACATTCTAGAACAGACGAATCTAACCCTTAGTGACAGAGTGCCGATCGGCGGTTGCCTGAGGCCGGATTGGGGGAGCTTTCTGGGGGATGGAAATATTCTACATCTGGAGTGTGGTGGAGATTGGACACGGACACATTTGTCAAATGCCATCAAACAAGTACTCTTAAAATGAGTGCATTTCACTGTTTGTAAATCTTTCCTCAATAAAGTGGATTTTAACTGTTAGAGAGAGAAACAGGCACCAGGCCGAGGTTGGATCTGTGCAGACAGAATTTCCAGGAGCCTGGCGGTTCTGCTGCGCAGTGGGTGCTGAGCCTCCCTTGCCCTCGGTTCCAAGGTCCCGGGGCTCAGAGGTCTGGGCCCCATCCTCCCGCACCTGCTTCAGGGGCCGCCTGGGTCAGGAGCAGCCCCAGCCTGAGCGGGGGAGTCCCTGTGGTGCCCCAAAGGATGAGCTCACAGGAGCGCGGCAAGCAGCCCGGTGCAGAAGGGTGCCTGGCTGGGTGTGGGGCTCGGACGGAGACCCAGGGCAAGGGCATAGTGCAGTGCCTTTCCCAGCCTGACCCCACCCCCACCTCTTTGACCCCTAGGGTTCCAGGTGGAACTACAAGGCTCCAACACGAAGTGCCAGGGCCAGGTGATGGTCTCGTTAGATGGGGCATGGCACACAGTGGACAGCCGGAGCTGGGGCCAGAACCCAGACCGCCATAGAGACCCCAAGCAAGCCTCCACACTCTGCCAGAAGCTGAACTGCGGGGACGCCTTGGCTCTCGCCCGCATCCCTTACTTCAACAGGCCCCAGAAACAGATCACCTGCCAGGGACAACTGGGATCCTTTTCCAGCTGCAACAACAGCTGGAACCAGGGGCATCCTCTAAGCCTGATCTGCTTAGGTGAGTTCCCCGAGGAGGCTGCCAGGGGCCTGTGATCTGGGGCCGGAGCAGGCAGGTGGAAGGGGGTCCCTGATTTACAACTGTCCCCCCAAACATTCACCGGTGGGGAACTTGAGGGGAAGGCTGAGGGATTCTGGCACCTGTCCAGTAGGGTGGAAAAGGTTGAGGATCTGCTGACTTCGCTGTCTCCTCTTGATCTCCATTTCCCCAACTGTAAAACGGGCTGGTGCCGCCCACTCACAGGAGGCTTAGTGACGACGTCTGGAGCACATGGTACTTACATCCTGAGCTCCAAGTCCCTCTCACTCTGCCAGTCACCCCCAGCCCTCTCACCCCCACTCCACCCTCCTCCCCGTCTTTCTCCCTCCCGTGCCCCTTGCCCCTTCCTCACCAGAGTGTCTCATTGCAGAGCCACTGAAGACCACCCCTCCTCCCACAAGGCCACCGCCCACCACTCCAGGTAAGAGGGGTCTCAGGCGCCCTGGGGAGAGGGTGTCGGATTTAGTGAACTTCGGGTAGATATGAAAAGTTTTAGTGAAACTGTGTCCCCTGCAGTATTTGGGACCTCACTCCTTCCTGGGGCCACAGCCAGGCATTCATTCATCCCCGTGTGGGGGCCAAAGATCTAGGAGCAAGGGGGCCCGTCAGCGCTCAGACTCACAGCCTCTCCCGTCTCCCCAGCTCCGCCCAGGCTGCAGCTGGTGCCGGAGCCCGGGGGCCTGCGGTGTGCGGGCGTGGTGGAGTTCTACCTCGGCAGCCGGGGCGGCACCGTCCGCTCCGAGGACCAGGACAGGACCGAGGACCTGGGGAACCGCATCTGTGAGGTCGTCCGGTGTGGCTCCTTCCTGAGGTACCTGCCAGAGGTCAAGGCAGCCAGGACACAAGCCCCAGGGGACAGCAGTCCCTTGCCAATCCAATGGGCGATCCAGAACTCGAGCTGCGCCTCCCTGGAGCAGTGCTTCAGAAAAGTCCAGTCCTGGGAGGACGACCACGCCCTCGCCCTGGTCTGCTCAGGTGAGTGAGACTGTGCCAGACCCACGGGCATGCCCAGATGGCCGGTCACCACGTGTCCCTGAAAACCCCTGCGTGGAGCGCAGGACACGGCGCCACGGAGAACACGAGGGGGGGAGGGGCTGGTGGTGGGGCCCTAAGCCATGGCGGGGGGATGGGAGGCTGCAGTCACACCGGGTGCCCTGGGAATCTCTGCCAAGCAACTCGAGCAAGCCCCCGGGCCCGGGTGGGGAGGTGGGGTCCACAGGACTTCCAGGAGCAGAGGGGCGGGGCCCGGGGAGAAGCTTCTGGGCGGCAGTCGTGGCCAGTGCAGGACCAGGGCAGGATGGGCGGATGGCAGGACAAGCCCGGCAGGAGGCAGCTTGTCAATCCCAGAGACAGCTGAGGGTGCTCTGACTGAGAGGGGAGGCCCCAGGGGACAACAGCAGAGCAGGTCCCCAGAGGGCGTCCAGGAGAGGCCTCCCAGCCACAGGCCGGCGACCTGAAGAGACTGCGATGCTGCTGTAGCTGAGTGGTTGAGGGGACCCCCAAACCAGGATCAGTGAAGAAACTGAGGGGACACTCTAGTTCAAAGTAAGGGGCTGGGGAGTGGGGGGCTTCTACCAGGGGGCAGGTCCTGGTGGAGGCTGACGGACGTGGAGCCAGGGACGGTGCCGGGCATTCTTCCCTCCTCACAGCAGCTTTCGGGGTGGCTGCTGCTATTCTCCCCACTTTCTGCATGAGGCTGGGGCTCAGAGAGATTACGTTTCCTGCCCAATCTGATAGCACACTGGCTTAGATCTCCACCCCAGCAGGGCCTCGGCTCCTCCAAGTGTGGCCGGGCCGAGGTGGGAGCCACCTGGGCAGGTTAGAAAGCAGGCTCGCAGGCCCCACCCGACCTACTGCCAGGGATTCGAGGGCACAAAGCTGGAAGCATTGCCCTGGACCACGGGCTCTCCTGCAGGTGGGGCGGCCCGCCCAGTAGACGCCTGGTGTGAATTAGTCACCACTGCGGCTCCGCTGGGACACAAGCAGCCCCCAGGGGTCTCTTGGCCTTCCTGCAGGCTGCAGCCTGTGACCACACCCAGGGGCCTGGCCTTGACATTTGTTCAAAATAGATTTACTAGGGCTTTGAAGGTGGATGTTGCCATGGAAACTGGCCAAAGCTGGTGAGATCACAGCTCCCTCCAAACTGAGCAGTGGGGGGCTCAGGGACGGACAGTCTGCCCCTCAGGCACCGGGCCTGGGCAGCAGCATTCCTGGCTTCTTGCCCACCTGTGAACTGACAGGACTTGGGGGCATTTCCCATCTCTGGGCCTCAGTTTCCCTCTGAAAAGCCCTCCCGCCTCCCAGGGAGCAGCGGGAGAACAAGAGGACGTTTGTTTCTGAGAGGAAAGCGGAACCCAGTTCCCACGCTCGTCCCTTAGCGCCGCCTGGGCAGGGGACGGCGGCTGGCTGCTGCCTGGACAGGGGCGAGAGCCAGAGAGGATGCCAGGGAGGAAGGCCGTCCCCCGGGGGCAGGCATGCAGGCTCGGGGCCCAGGGAGTTCCCTCCACGCCTGCACCCATCTCCATTGCTTCCCCCCAGATTTCCAGCCCAAGGTGCAGAGCCGCCTGGTGGGGAGCGGCAGCGTGTGCGCGGGCTCCGTGGAGGTGCGCCAACATGGGCAGTGGGCAGCCCTGTGCCACAGCCACTCGAGCACATCACGCTGGGAGGAGGTGTGCCAGGAGCAGCAGTGCGGCCACCTCAACTCCTACCGGGTGCTGGATGCCGGCGAGAAGACCTCCCGGGGGCTCCTGTGCCCCCAGGACAAGCTGTCGCAGTGCCACCAGCTCCAGGAGAAAAGATCCCACTGCAAGAGGGTGTTCATCTCGTGTGAGTCGGCCACGGCCCACGGCGGGCGGAGGGCAGTTCTGCGTTTTCCCCCAGGACCCAGTCAGTGAGCACGTTTCTGAAGAATAGGCCCCAGGAGCTGGACAGAGAGCCCCAGAGCCCCAGAAAAGGGGGGATGGCAAACGGGGGCGAAGGGGTACGCGTGCTCAGACAGCAGTGAGCGGAGCCATGAGGGGGGCTGCCACCGCAGTCAGGCAGCTAACGCATGGACCGGCGTCTGTCTTCTCCTGGTCCGGATGGGAGATAGTCAGACAAGAGGCAGAGGAACATCTCTGCTCCGTCAACAGTACTGAGTGACACACTGCAGAGGGACTGGGGGGTGGATGTCCAGCCGTGGGTATATGGCCATGCCTTGGTGCCCGTGTGATGGCAAGGCCACCACTATAACTGGCGAATGGTAGAGAGTGAAATATTGATTACAGAAGAGGCAAATGATAGCTGAGGGTCAACTGTTAGAGGGTAAATGGTGGAGGGAGGAATGTGTGGCAGAGACCCCCAAAGATGGTGCAGAGACAGCCAGATAGATCACTGCCTTCACACATGCCAGCGAGTTGCTGGGAGAGGCCGGCCAGCAGCCTCCCTCCAGAAGGAGAGATTCGATACCGACGGGCGGACCCACCTGACTCCTCTGCCTCCCCAGGCCAGGACCCAAACCCGGCGGGCCTGGGCACAGGCACCGTGCTGAGCATCATCCTGGCCCTCGTGCTCCTGGGCGTGCTGCTGGTCATGTGCGGCCCTCTCGTCTACAAGAAGCTGGTGAAGAAATGTAGGTGCAGGTGCCCAAACCACCTCCCTTGCCACCCCTGTGTGGGGAGACGAGGAGGGCCCGCTTCTGCTTTGCCACCCAGCCCCACCCCTCTCCTGCCCACTGGCCTTTTTCTGCCCAAAGTAACAGAAACAGAAAGTCAGGAACATTGTAGTTGCTGGTTCGCCCACACCCCGGGCCCAGCCGAGACACACTCCAGGCCTAAGGGAGGGTGTGGCCATTCTTTAGGTGGTGACGGACCCAGAGGGTCATCTGCATGGCCTCTGACCTCAGGAGACATGCGTCCCAGGCCCGGCGCCACCACCTACCAGCCGTACATGATGGTGATTCAGCCACTTCCTCTCTGAGCCTCAGTTTCCTCATCTGTCAAATGAGCAAGTCCTCACCTAGTGAATATAGCAGGTCGCTGTCCTTGTCTTGCAGAATTCAGGAGAAAACTATCCAAAGGCGAGGAAGTGAGACTAGAGGGGCCGGAGCGAGGCCCGGAGGTGGGCAGTACTGGCTGGGTCCCTAGAGCCCTCCCAGGTCTTACTTCTGGTTCTAAACAGTGTTTGGAGAGCCAACCACCTCTAGCGTGAGATGAGTGCAGCTTCCTCCCCAGCGCACTGGGGTACTGAGGCCCCAAAGATTTCAGGGGTGCAGTCCAGCAGCCCCCCTTCAGCTGCACCTGCGCCCCCCCCCGTGTCTTCCCTGCAGTCCGCCAGAAGAAGCAGCGCCAGTGGATCGGCCCCACGGGAATGAACCAGAACAGTAAGTGTCCCGGAGGCGGGTCCTCCCTCGCCCAGCCAGTGTCCACCGGGCTCAGGAAGGAAGCCATGGAGGCCAGGTTGAGGCTCACTGCTGACCACAGATGGAGCCAGTGGCTTGAGAGCTCTGGTCTCCACCTCGATACTGTGCCAACGGGTGTTAGCAGGTGGTGCCCAGAAAGGAGGGCTCCTTGAGCAGAGATTCGGACGTCCATGAGCTAAGCAAAGCCAGACACAGTTCTTTGGTTCAGGACTTACCAGAACCTTCATGGGCTCTTTCCCACTGTTCGTCTCCAAAGCGGGGCACAGGCAGAAGGGTTGTTCAGCTGGTTTTATCATACAATGTCATCTTCACGGAACAACTTCCGAAGGCCAGCTGTAAAACTTTTGCTGCAGCCAGCCCACCCCCACCCTTCATCTTCTCTCCTTGTAGCCACAGCCAGCGCCACCTTCTGGATGGCAAGCAACCCTCCTCCGCCCTCCCACTCCACACTCCTCCCCGCTTTGCCGAAAGCCAACTCCTTCAAGAAGGCTCGGTGTTCTCAACTCGTTTTTATCAATAGAGGCTCTGAGCTCTGGGAGGGCCGGGGTCTATCTGCCCTATCTCTGTGACCCTGCTTACAACACGCTTGGTGACAGACTAACAGAGCGACTGAAGGCCCAACCTGCCAATCAGCCTGCTGGCCAACCCGCAGCTGCTCTAAGTCTGACCCTGCTAACACCAACCTGTCCAAGCAGAAAGGAAACGAGGGACCTGTTCAAGGAGCTGTGGGTGCCCCTGCAGCCCCACCCTCCACTACACAATGGGAACAGGAAATTAAAGTTCTGGGCCCCTGCTGGGAAGGAGGAGGAGGAGTCAGAGCAAGCACAGTGACCCTGCCTCCTGCCTCTGTCTGCTCAGTGTCTTTCCATCGCGACCACGCCACGACGGTCCGCCGGTCCCAGGTTGAGAACCCCGCAGCCTCAAACGTGGAGAATGAGTACAGCCAGCCTCCCAGGAACTCCCGCGTCTCAGCCTATCCAGGTGAGCACAGCGGGTGCCTGTGCAGGGCTGGGCAGAGGTCATGGGACCACCCACAGAGGGCGCCTGGGGAGAGCGGGGCGGAGCTGCCGCTGCCAGGGCTCCCACGGGTGTGGAAGGGATACCACTTTAATGCCACTCCGCTGGAGAGAAGGCCCTGGGACGCCGTCAGCCGGTCACTGCTGTGACCCCAGCGACCTGTTTCCCTGCAGGGCCTCGGGGCGGGATGGTAAATGCGGGACGGAGCTGCCACGGGGACAGAGCCACCCCATGGCCAGCTCGCTGCACTGGCTGCTCCCTGACTGGCACTAACAGTGAAGCCCCAGGGAGCCTGGAGCTCAGCACCATTTGTGAACATTTGGCTGATTTGATCAAAACAGATGGGAGGCTGTCAAGCCGCCAGCCCAAAGAGCCTCTGCTCTCCATGGCCTGTGGGGTGCGGGGTTTCGAGGGGCTCCATGGATAGCCCGGGGGGCCCAGCCCACTGAAGGTAGCCTCCTTTCTTTCTGCAGCTCTGGAGGGGGCCCTGCATCGAGTCTCCACCCAGCCCGACAACTCCTCGGACAGTGACTACGACCTGCATGGAGCTCAGAGGCTGTGAAAGGTGAGCCTGGCCTGGGCTCGGGCACCCGCACAGCCCTGGGCGCCTGCCGCCTGCCCACCCACCAGTGGGGATCCTCGTAAAGGGACGAACAAGGAAGCATCGGGGATTCGGGTGATGGGAGCTGATCTGCCATTAGAGCAGGGGACTCGCTGACCTTAACACCAGCTCCCCGACTCCATCTCGGGAGACCACCCAAAGGAGCCCCTGGGAGGTCTGCTGATGGACTCGCACCCCTCCAGGCGGCCAGCAGGAAGGAGGAGCCCTGACCCAGAGGGGCGGCCTCTGACCCTGACACTGAGCGGACCTTGGGGCTGCACCCCACCTCCCGGAACCATCTCCAGGTGTGAGGCCTCCTCTGAAACGGTTCCTTCTCACCCACAGGCCCAGGAACCAGGAACAAACACCCAGAGCCAGACCTGGTGCCCTGAGAACACTGCGTTGGCCTGATTTCTGCCCGCAGAGCACGGACGGAGGGCAGGGGCATCTGGACATTACAGCTGCCGGCCAGCTCTGCCGCCCCCAGGAGCCGGGCCCAGGAAGACCCACAGAACCTTGGCTGGCCCTCAAGTGCGGCAGCTGTGCGAGGGCAGAGCCCACCGACAAGCAGCCCGGGCAGACATCTGGGGGCCAGGCTCTGGAAGCCCCTCCCGTCTGTGGGAAGCAGCACCCAAGCAGAATTGGCTCTCTCCTCAGACTCGGACCTGGGGAGGACTCACCGGAGCTCACACAGGGGGGAGAGGTGGGAGCTGAATTCTCCAGTGTACTTTTAATATGTTGTGTAAATAATGCCTTTTCTACTTTCTGAGAACTAGAGTGCCCAGCCTCCTCCGTCCAGGGTCACGCCCTGTCCCTCTGGAGATGCCCGTGGGCAGGGGCTGCACACCTAACACAAAGCCAGCTTAGCAGGGAGGGCGTGTGTGGGCTCCCAGACTCCACATGCCCTAGCACCCCAGTGCCCCAGCGCCACCCTCCACCTGGCTCCCCGACACCCGTGTCAGGACACTGGCTGTCGAGCCCAAAGGGCCCCACACCACCGCAGGGCTCTGCACACAGGGGGACCTGGTGAACCAGAGCTGCTCGGGGTTGTGCTTTGCACGGCAGTTGAAAGTCCAAAGCGAAAGGGTTTCCGCCGATCCCAGTGAAGGCCCCAGCTGGAGAGTCAGAGATGGGGTGCACATCCCTGAGAGTGAATGGCTCCCTCCACAGAGTCTGCTGCGGGCGGAGAGCGGAGGCCACAGCAGATCCTGCAGTGCCCGGGTTTCCTAAGTCCGAGCGAGAGCAGGAGCTGAAGGGCCTAGTGCAGGAAGAGGCCGTGCGGGGCCTCACTAAGCCCCTGGGCATCCAAGGGTCCTTGAGAACAGGAAGCAGCAGGAGAACCTTCTCCCCTCCCACTGGTCACTGTGCCCACCGGGACCAAGACATCGATGGTCCCAGCCACAGAAGCTACTGGGAGAACACCAGGGGTCACTAGGTCAGGAGAGCCTGTGAGCACTCTGCCCCCACCAGGCCCCCGCCCTCCCCCGCTCAGGCACAGATCTGCCCCTGACTGTGCTGGGAATCCGGAAACCGACAGCCAGGCACTGGCCCTACCTGGCTGGGGGAAAGTCCTCGAATGGGGAATGAGGGGCTCCTCTTAGGGAGGGCAGAGGGTGAAGGAGGTGTCCCCTACTCTGTAACTTCCGGCATGGCCGCCACACAGGGCCTCAACACAGCCACAGCCTGCTTTAAAAACCACCCCACCCCGCCCCCTAGAGAGCTGCATTGAGGCAAAAGTCTCTTTAGAAAATTGTTTCCGAGTGGTGGCAGGTGATGCATTCCAAAAAGATCTGCTTAAGCAACTGAATAGGACCTACCTCGGCCTGGGAGGCACCTTGGCCAAGTTCCCGCCTCGGCAGGTAGGCCCACCACAGGCAGCACCTCCTTCCACACTCTGCCTCACAGCCACCTGCCAGAGCAGAGCAGGGGCGGCCCCTCATCAAGAGAGGGCAGTGCTCACCTGTGTCCCCCAACCCAGCCCAGAGGCCCTCGAGTGTGCCACCTGATTCTAGTACATTCTCGTTACGTCAAGGAAACTGAGGACCCAAGAGGAAGGCTCACTGACTACCCGGGAGCAAGTCTGGCTCCGACGCGGTAAGGACCTGGGAGCACTGGACGGATGGAGCCAGGCAGCAGAGAGCACGTAAACGTGGCTTGTCCCAGCTCCCTCAGCCGGGAGTCCTTTCTCACTGAGCTGGGAGTCTCTCTGAGGCTCTGAACATGACACGCAGGGTCTGTCGCCGTGCAGCCCGCTGAGGTCCGGCGGAGGACGCCGTGGTCTCACGTGGTGGGAGGATCTAAGGCGTGGGCAGCCTGGGAGAGCGGAGAGCAAGGCCCAGCAGGGGTGCCGCACGCGGGGTGGCCAGCTGGAGCAGCTCTGAACCAAGTTCTTTCTTAGAAGGTGGCACTTCCTCTCCAGCTCCCCCGTGCAGCCTGCCACCAACCCAAAGCAAGTGACTTGATTGTCCCCCAAGTGAGATGTTCAGCCTCTTCCTACAAAGCTATTGTCTCCAGTCCGCCGTGGTGTCCTGTGTTCTCAGCCCTGGACACGAGGAAGGCCAGAGCTTGGGAGAGGGCAAAGGGCAGGGACGGTTGCTGGAGCCCAGGGCTCTCAGCTGTGGGCTCAGATTCCCCCAGGACTGTGGCTTTCAAAGCCTGATGACTTCTGGCACCACAGAGGCAATGCACGTGGCCGTTTTCAGTATCCGTGTCTCTGGGCATCGTCCACAGGCAGCCTGCCCTTGTCATCTTGCAGGGAAGAAAAAGCAGAAGGTCCATCGGACGCTGGTCTCCTGACTCCCCAGAAGCTGTCCTTCCTGCTGAAAGCAGAAGCCCCTCAGGCCTCGTGATAACCAGCTGAGCGCAGGGGGCGCTGGGAGGGAGGTAGGCGGGCCACCGGCAGGGCACCGCTGACTCCTCAGCCAGTTCAGCGGCCGCTGCCCCTCACCCGTGTAGAAATGGGTGGGAAGACTCGGACCCCAGCTGGGGTTCCTGGTCAGCTCAGCAGGTGGCAGGAAGGTGGCCTTGCAGTCTAAGCTCTCCACCCAGGACGAGCACCAGGCAGACGTGCGGGCTGAGGCCCGGAAATGCCCAAGACTGCCAGCCACACTAGGAGAGGCCAGGGAACCACCGCAGAGCTGGGGTGGGGGGGAGGGGAGCCGGGCAGGCAGCCGCACGGGAGCCGAGGTCCAGAGAGATGGGGCTCTGTACACACGGATCAAGGGGGCCTTTGAACAGAGCGTGATCCTGAAGGCAGCGGGAGAAATCCGTGCCCCTCCGCCCACCCGACAGCCCTCCCCACTCCTCAAACCCGCTGGGGCCACAGCACTGCACAGAAGTCCTGGGTTTATTGTGGCAACTACGCGTACAACATCGCGGCCATCGGCCAGTGCCGCAGCACTCGAGCCACGAGGGTCCACAGCAATCTCTATAAATAACGGGAGAAGCGAGCAGTATCCGCAGGGGCCCGACAGAGCGCATCGAGCGTCTCAGCCGCGTGCCCACCGATGGCACGCAGGCAGCAGAGGTCATTTCCTCGGGCCCCAGCGCCCCAGACCCGGGTCTCATGCAGTGGACATTTCAAGGCACATTCGACGTCCTGCCGATAGCAGCTCCAGGGTCTGCCCTCGAGACGCGGTTGACACCTGAACACCAAGTCCATGCTTCGCCCATCACACCCCGTGGTCTACTGTCTTTATTCCCGAACATGCTTAAACCCCCAGTGCTGGGGCCGCACGTGGCCGAGTCGCAATCCTTGCCCCTTACATTCTGGAGACGAGAGGTGCAAAGAAACGGACTCCGACTGTGCTGCTGTTCAGAAAGCACCATTTGGGAGGTTACTGTTAGGGCATCTTTTGATGTCTGTCTTCGGGGGGACATTGGGGTGGGGGAGAGTGACATGAGGGAGCCAGAGGAAGGCAACAAGGGAGGGGCTCCTGCAAATGAGATTCAAGGCACTAAAGGAGTGGACGGAAGGGGTGGGCCCTGAAAGAAGTCAGCCGGGATCGGGGCCCAGAGAAGAGGGTGGCGGGGGAGGTGACCTGGCCCTCCACTCCAGTGAGCCCCAGTGTGACCACGATCTGGGCCAGAGCTGCTCCCCCCTGTCCAGCCAGAGGGCCCAAGGTGACCCCTGGATTTTCCTGCCAGCGTCAGCAAGACCTGGGGTCCACCTTCACAATCCTGTCTTCTCACCGCGCTGGCTCTGCTGCTGTCACTCAAACCAGCACACAGGACAAGTGTGCCTGACACCAGCCCGTCAGAGTTCAGTTATGGCTTTATGTGGCTTAAAAACCACCAAGTGTTTTCCTAATTGTTCTCTCCCACCCTGGCCATGGTGCCTGGGGCAGGCCACCCTTGAAGGGGCCAGAGACACAGAGCTGCACCCCTTGGTGTGGGCACCACACTGAATATGTCAAATCAGGGGAGGAGGGTGAGCAGGGGCCAGAGACCAGCCGCCCACCACCGAGACAGGTCTGCCCGGGGTTCGGATGTCCGGGCGTGCAGACACAGCAGATGTCACCCAGATACCCGCGGAGAGGTGCTGAGCCCCAGCCTGGCTAGCACCAGACAGGCCAGTGCCAGTCATGAAGGAGGCGCTCCCTCCCTGGGAGGCCAGTAAATGCTACGACTGCCTGGTGCCTTTCTGGGGCCTGCAGGCTCCCAGCCAGGTCCCCCAAGTCCTGGAGATTGCCAATTCCACTTCCAATTTCACCTCGAATCTCAGCAGTGGGTGGGCCAAAGGTTGTGGTGCAGGTGGAAGGAGGGGAGGGCGAAGGGCCAGGGCCCTAATACCCAGGCCAGGCAGGACCCTGGGGCGGTGGGAACCCATAGGGAGGGGCAGGCCCAGTGGGGTAGGGAGGCTGAGGGGGGCCTGCGGGCTGGGGCTGGCCTGGGAAGCTGGGGAGCTGGGGCTGCGTTGGGTAGGGAGGCTTTCCTCGCGCCGGGAGGTAGGAAGGCTGCTGAGGATAACCAGGGCTGGGGGTCCGGCCCCCGGCCGGGGGGTACCCAGGACCCGAGGCACCAGAGTGGGGCACGGGGTAGCCAGGCCGGGGCGGCGTGCTCCTCTGTGGGGACCAGGAGTAGCCCCCCGCAGCCCTGGGTCCCAGCTGGGCTGACGGGTAGGGGGGCCCACTGTAGGAATAGGAGGGCTGGGACAGGGCTGGAAAGGGTGCCGGCTGGAGCGCGCCTTGGGCGGTGGGGCCCAGGGGCAGGCCTGGGGATGGGCTGTAAGGCAGAGGGTAGGGAGGCACTCCTGCGGGCGGCGGTGGCCGGGCTGGCTGCTCTTCGGCCACCGGGGGCGTCGCCTGGGGGACAGGGCGAGATGGGAGAGGCGGGCGGACAACAGGGGCATCGCCTGCCGGCTCCTGGGAAGCTCTGGGCTTCTTCACCACATCCTGGAGTTTCTCCACGCGGACCCGGCGCAGATGCGACAGCGTCCTCATGGCGGCAAAGTTCTCCAGAAACGTTTCCAAGGGCACCTCGCCCTCCAGGAACTTCTCTGCCATGGCCTGGAAGACAAGGTCAAGTGACAACTAGGCCTCTTGAGAACAAGGTCCCCCAGGTCCCCCAGGTCAAAGATCAGCAGGTCGAAGATAGGCCGCAGGACCCCCAGCTCAAGGATCAGCCACGGTCCCCCAGGACCCCCAGGACAAGGATCAGCCACGGTCCCCCAGGACCCCCAGCTCAAGGATCAGCTGCGGCCCTCCCACCTCAGCCGCCTCAGGCCCCTGCCTTCTCTGGCCCCCATCACTGCTGACACACTCATTTGTTTGTTCTCTGTCTCCCTCACCAGAATGTCAGCTGCTGGAGGGCAGGGACTCTGTCATGGTCACCCCGGCACTGTGCCAGGCCCCCAGTGGCCACTGCACGTATGTGCTGAGTAAGCAATGAACACCAGCTACTCAGTCGCAGTGCAGGCCGGCCCAGGGGTTGGGAGGACCGGCAGCCCCTTCCACCAGGGCGCGGAGCTGTGGAGAGGGCTGGCCTGCCCAGAGACTGGACAGATGCTCTGAGGGGAGCAGAAAAGAGGAACCAGGCAGGGCCCGGTGAGAGGAGGGGCTGCCTCAGTCCTCGGGGGCTCCTGCTGCCTGCCCTCTGCCCAGGTCTGCCAGCTGCCTGGGACCGTGCCATCGGCCACCCATTTCATCCCTAGCCTGTGAGACTGGGCTCCTGTTCTCTGTGTCCAAAAAGGCCTCCCTGGGACAAAGGTGTCACTCATCTTTGCCACCTCCTACTGCGCCCTTTCCCACCCTTTGCAGGCCTCTGGTGCCCTTCCCGAGGGCTCCTGCTCCAGGGCTGACCCATTCAAGGAAGGGGGTGTCGACGGCCGTCTCACCTCAGACTCTTCCTCAATTTTCATGCCTTCGACCTGCAGAAGGTCCAGCAAGGCCCCTGGCTGCAGTGCTGAAGAGAATTTCTCTGGAACAGAGGGCAGAACAGTCGACGTTTCAGAAGTGCCTCTCGATTCAGTGCTGGAGGCCAAGGCTTCCGTAAAGGCCCTCCGTGTCCTGTGCGTGCGGAGGCCGAGCCACCACCCGGGGCTGCTGCAGGTCCCTCCGGTCACCTTCCTGAGCAGAGAGCTCCACCGAGCGGACCCAGACCTTGGCTAACCAGCTTCCCAGCCACAACGCTGTTTGGCCTCACAGGGGTCACTTCACTGTCTGAGCACCGAGCTCTTCACTGTCAAGATCAGGACAGCCCCTCCCGCTTCGCAGGTGGCAGGTCCCCAGACACAGAACACAGGGACCAGCACAGAAGCTGAGCTGGCCACGTCCACGGCAGCGTGCAGGGCGCGGGCTCTCTGGATTCAAATCCCAACTCCACCTCCAGCTGGCTGTGGAACCCCAGCCCAGGCTGGACTCTCTGAGCCTTCTCTCTCTCTTCTGTGAAATGAGTTACAGTAGGACCTACCCTTCTATGGCCACGCAGAGCACTTAGCACTGGGCTGGGGCGCGGGACCTCAGCGACGGCGGGCCCTTTCCTGTGTGGGGAGGGGAGGGCATCTATTCCTCCATGCTATTCCTAGTCCACCGCTGACCTGGACCCCGACCTAACAGAGGATCCCCCAGGGCACACTCCTGGATTCCGGCCGCCCCTACCCAGCTTCGCCTTCTGCTCCTGGCACCGCTCTACCAGCTTCCGGAGCTCCTGGTACTTGTCTGAGAGGTTTGAGCGGCTGATCTCCAGGGGACCTTGGAACTCCAGGTTCCGCTCAGCCAGGCTGCGGTTGGTGGCCAGTGCCATCTCCCGTTCCAGCTGCAGGTCCTGGACCTAAAAGAACAGGACACCTGACCTTAAGGATCACCACCACCACTCACCACAGGGCAGGCTGGTCCAGGGCCTCCTGGGACTCATCGCCCACCGTGGGGGAACCTCCAGACTCAGACCTGGGCTACAGTCAGAGGGACCTGGGTGTCAACCCTGAGCAGCACTCTGACCAGGCACCTCCCAAATCCTAATCCAACAGCCAGTGTGGTGGAGACACGTGGGCACAGACACTAAAGTAACAGCCGAGGCCACTGGCGGGCAGTGCAGAGCTCCAGGGAGGCAGGTGGACCAATTTCTAGAAGTCGCCGGCTTTCTAGGAGGGAAAGGACCAAAGTCCCAACCACGTTTCCACAAGATACAGAGTCGAGACCTACTCTGAAGTACACTGAGGTGGCCCAGGCCAGACCACAGGTCAGAAGCGCAATGAGGCCCAGAACAAGTTGCTCTGAGAGTGAGAAGCCAGGGACAGACTAATCCCCATTCGGGAGACCTGTCCCTCCTCCTAGGCCATGCCTGTGACTTGCAGAGAAGCTGCGCAGGTGAGCCGATAGGGGGTCTCCAAAGGACTAGGGGGAGTCCCCACAACCAGAGGGTTCCCACCAACAGACCCGTGGCCACCTGAGGCCCCAGTGCCAATCTCTGCACCTGGACGTGCCCTGAATGCACTTCCCCATGCTGAGCGGTGCTGTGCCCTTCGGCCAGGTCCTTGCCCCCAGCCAGTAAGGACCCTTCCCAGACCTGCTAGGACCTGAAGCCCTGACCATCTGTAGGGAGTCGTCATTACAGAGAGGAGGGCGAAGAGTCAGACGCACCACCCTGAGACGGAACAATACCCCCACAGCACCTCTGCACCAGGGCACAGGACTCGGCACCCAGTGAGGGCTCAGGGCACAGCTGGTGTCCCCACCAGACACAGGAGGCTGAGGGCATCCTGGAAGATCCCCACGCAGGGCCTCGAGCCCCTCACTCTGAGGCAGGCCCAGAGTCTGCCCTCCTGCTCCAGACTGGACAGAGGGGCATCACAGCGGCCCTCCCTCCAAGGACCCACTGCCCAGCAAGGGTGGGCCAGCCACCGTCTCTTGGGCACGTGCCCCACATCTGGGCAGTCTGGTTTGCTGCCGCAAACACCACCTTGAGCCCCTCGGCAAGCACACTGACTCGGGGAGCTGACACGGGGGAATTTCCATCTCGTCTTTATGGCCTACGAAACCTTTCCTTACTTATGTGACTGACGGGGAGGGCGGCCGAAGCCCTCCGCTCAGTGGCCCCTGGGCCCACAGGTTGAGGGCCCTCACTTACATCCAGTGACTTTTCCCTGGGTCTTAACCTGTCCATCTTTGCTGCATCATTTCCCCCTAAACCTTGTGCTACCCATTTCTGTCCCCTCTCCCACAGCCTCCCCCAATGAAGAGGTCAGTAAGAGGGTTGCAGCACCCGGCCCCGAACAGCTGGCCCACCTGCTGGACGCCACCATTCACCATGCACGGCATAGGGCCCCTACCAGCTCCCTTCCCCCATGCCCACGCCCTAAGCTAAACAAGTTCCTCTCTCCTCAGTCCCACGGGGACTCAATCACTGTCCTCTGGCCCACGGTAGAAAACCTAGTCTGAGGGGCTCTGAAAGTCTAAGCAGCCACCCCTCTTCGTTGCCTTGACCCGGAAGCATTTCCCCCTTAGAGAATGCACAGCGATCAGTCAGGCCTCGCTGCGCACCTCACAATTCGGGGTGCCGCTCGCCTGAGTCTGGTGCTGCTCACATCTTCCGTGATTCTGTGCTTCGCCCAGCTGGATGTCAACTCGCCACAGGCAGGTGAAGGTGTGCTTCTACAGAGCGCACATGCTGCAGCAGGCCGTGGAATTCCCACAACATGCTGCCCGTGGCGGGTTCAAGAAACACCTGGTGCTTACTACGTGACCGGCAAAGAACGGAAGACCGAGGAGCAAAGACCTGTGCTGTGCCCGGCATGGTGCCGGCCCAGAGCCAGACCCTGGCAGAGCTCACGGCCTAATCAACCATCCGAATCAGCCCTGGAGTTTAACCAGGACAAGCCTTGCTCATGTCCTCGCTGCCCGAGCTCAGGGTGGCAGGACGTGCCACATCGAGTCCCCATCCCTCCCCTCACAGCTGCCCGATGCTCATCCCCCCCGCCACAGCAAAGACTGCTTGTTTGGGGGCAGTGGGGGGCACAGCAAGGCCGGAGTGAGGACACCCCTGACAGAGAGGGAAGTGCTCTGGGGGAGCAGGAGCAGGGAGCAGTGGGCTGGGGGCCTCTCTTTCCGGTGGACCTACTGTGAATTCCCAGAGGAGTCCCAGCACACCTGTACATGAGCAACACCTTTCAAATGCCAATCGGATGAGCCCGGCAGCCTCATGTTTGCATCTCCCTGGCATTAGGGTGGCAGGCGGCAGCTTCTAGAGCAGTGGTTAGTTGCAGCCACTCCAGGGGCGACTGTGCACATCCCCAGCTCTGTGGCCACGTCTGGTCGCCTGTCCTCTCCTACCTCACAGGGTCCCAACCAGGGGGGTGCCACAGAAAAACGAGATGAAATTGACCCCCAACTCCCCACCAGCCAGTATTCTTAAGCGCCTCAGCCCCATTCGCTGGCCTTGCGTGGGCTCCGTGCCCGCCTCCCTCTACCTCAGGGGACTCCTGGGCCAGCCGGTCAATGGCCTCCGGGTCGTTCTGCATCTCCTCCAGCTCCTCCAGGGTCTTGTCTCGGAGGGTCTCCATCTTTCCCTGTGAACACAGAATGACACGGACGTGAGGAAAAGCAGCTCTCGGGAAGAGACCCCTGAGCCTACGTGCATTCTCTGGGAGAGACAAACCCATTCTCTGAGGACGCATCCCCGGCACAGGGTGCTCAAGGAGGGGCAAGGGTCCCATTCAGTGTGTCCCCGCCGCCCTGCACGCCCCTCCCCAGGGAGCCGTTCCTTCCACCCAAACCATGATCAGCAGGACATGAGAGGGCCCTGGGCAGCCAGAGGGAAACCCGCAGAGAGCTCCCCAAGGGGCCGACGGAAAGGGCAGGGGCGCCAGGCAGCAGGGGCAGAGACGACACTGGCCCGGGGTGGCCCGCGAGCCCTGAGGCCAGCGCCCACTCTGGTAGGTGTCTATTTCCGTCTGAACCAGAAATACACCCAGCACGGGGCGCTGCCATGCCCTGCTGGCTATATTTAGGGCACCGGCAACCTTGGGTCCCCTCGGTGTTCTCTGCAGCTGCCGTCCCCCCTACATGCCGCCAGATGGCCTGTCACAGCCACGTCCTTGTCACGACAGGGAAAAGAATTCACCAAACTGGCTTCCAAGGCCATCGGGAGGAAAAGAGACGGCGTGACCTGAACAGGAGGGCTGCTCTGACCACAGCGGGCTTCGCAGTCCTCTCCCGCCATGCTGCCCAGGGGGCCCGACAGACGCCTGTGTGCCGGGTCACAGCCAGACCCCAGGGCCGAGACGAGAAAGCAGACACACAGAAACACACGCAGGCCTCGCTGCCTTTCTGCTGAGGGGGACCCTCTGGGTTTGTGTCCACCATTTCTAGATAGGCGCTGTACAGCCTGGATGCCGGGGCCGCGCTTTAAATGCTGCAGGGACTTCGGGTGTGAAACACGCCCCTGTCTCAGCCGGTCCCCCACTACAAAGGCCTCTCGCGGTCTACCTGCGCGTCCCTTGATGTGGCTGGAACCTGGCCTCTGTCCGGCAGCACATTTCCGGCGAGTTGCCCCAAAGGTGCCCCGGCCGCGGCGGGACACAGGGGGCAGTGCTTCCTTCTAACCCCACCTTCTCTGCTCCCTCACCTGCCAGCCCCTCAAGCCTCCCACGTATCGACTTACGGCAGAGTGGCAGGTAACCTGCTGTGGTGACAAAGGAGGAGACCCCGGCCTCGGAGCCTGGCCCTTGGCTGCTCCTTCCGCAGGCGTCCCAGCCGCCTCCTCTCACACGGCCTCTCGAGGGACTGCTGGCATGAGGGAGCCCAGGGCCCCTCCCCCACAGAGGCCCACATTCTCCTTTCTAGGGGCTCATTTTCCTCCCCTATAAAGTGGGTGCACAACCTGATGATGGTCACAGGCTCCTTTCTTCTGAATTCAGAGCCCTTTACAAACTCTCCCGTTAACTTACATCTGCAATTTCCAACCTCTCTCATTTCGTGGCACACAAACTAATTACTAAATTTCTGTGGCACACCAAAAAATATCTTGTTTGCCAATCTGACAAAAAAAAAAGGGTATAATTTTGATTCATTCACACCCTACAGCTATTGTTGCATTGGCCATTGGCCTTTTTTATTTGACAGTTTAAGGGAAGGAGGTTCAGCACCGCTGACTCAACACTCAGGTATTGCATGTTTTAAAATTCTTGCAACACTGGCTGAAAATCACTGACTTGCATCAGTACTCTAGTAAGTAAAGCGAACACAAGGCTTAATGACCCCTATTTCAGGGATGAAAGGAAAAAGTGAAAGTATTGCCAAAGGCAGGACAGCCACTTGGCATTTAAATTTCACGAGCGCCTCGACTGCCTGCTCCACCACCCCTCATGGGGAGTCAGGAGGACAGGTCCAGATGCCGAGATTGCAGGTCTGAAAGCCCCAGGGCCTGGGCCCGGCCACCTCCCCACCCTGGCCCTTTGACATCTCAAACCCCGGCAGGCAAATGCCTGTCTCGTGAGCAACAGTGGCCTGGGAAGCTACTGGGTCTTTCTTCCAAAGCCAGAGCCACCAGTGAGGCCAAGCAGCGAACACTTCTCTAGGTCCTCAATTTGGAAAAGGAGAAAGGAACAGGACAATATTCTGCTCAAGGCCCATAAATCAGGGACCCCTGAGGCCTAGGCACCTGCTGCTGGCAGTGTTCTGCCTCCCGTTACCCAACGTGGCAGAAAAACCCAAACCAGCACTACAGAAGTAACCACAACCACCACGGATGTCACAATGCAGAGAACTGGGGGTGGGAAGGGTACTGAGCAATTATCTGGGGAACCAGAATCCATGGGCTTTTGTGTCTGGTGTCTGGAGGGCCCGACAAGCCAAATGACCTCGCCCCTTGGCACCCAGCCTGGCCAGGACCCTCCTCCACTTACCAAGGTGCCCGGGAGGATGCCGGGTACTTGTGGCGGGAGGGTGTCTGGAGTCTGCTATTTGGAAGGAGGGGACAGGAAAGAGGAGTGAGGTGAGAAGAGACAGAGGTGAGGGAAGCGTGTTGCTCACCCCTGTATCCCAGCGGCACACAGAGAGCCCCTAACACTCTGCAGAAAAATGGACAGAGGCAGGGAGGACAGCAGCCAGCAGCTGAAGGACAAGTCATCCAAGACAAGGGGATGTGAGAACGCAGCCTCTCCACTTTTCATGCCTTCACTCCTTCCTTCATGCTTTCACTGAACAAACACTTAATGTCTATTCATTTCTACATGCCAAGTACTGTATAAGAACCCAAAGAAAGGAAGGAAAAATGTGCCAGACACGGCTTTAAAATACAAAATCCGATGCTAATTCTCCAGGAACTCAGTTTGGTTTTTAAAAGCAAAGCAGTCACAAGGAATCGTGGTGAGAGGAGCCGTAACAGAGGCGGGGACAGTGGTGTGGGTGTGGGGAAGCGGACAACTCTGAGGGTGGGTGTGCGAGGAGCCCCCAAGGCCTCACTGAAAGGGGCACTGGTGCCAGGACAGGAGTCCGGAACCCGGGGGAGATGACAGCAGGCCCTGGGGGAGCCCAGGAGGTGGGTCCGCGTGGCCGGGAGATGGGAGGAGGCTATGAGGAAGGCAGGTGGCATCGCATGTACAGGTGCAGCGAGACAACACCTCTTTGGGGGGCGACACCATCAACTCAAAGGAGATCAGATGGGGAACAAGGTGGAAAGGCAAGGAAGGTGAGAGCTACGTGTTCCCTCCACCAAGAGGAGAAAATGTCACTGATTCCTCAACAACAGGCCCTGAGAAGAGGAAAAAGCTTTCTTCTCTTTTCCTTTTTTCCTTTTTCTTGGGGGGTGGGGGGCAAGGGGCTGTTCCGTCTCCTCTGCGGCTTTCAGCTCCACCAGCGGTCACAGAAGCCACAAACCTGCGCCTACAAGGACGAGCCGGTGCCCCCGAGGCCAAGCCTCTGGGCGGGGAGTGTCCCTCTGGAGAGCCCCGGCTCCAGCCCAGCTCGGGCACCTCCTGAAGGTTTGGGGCGGGCACGCTTTGCCAGACCCGCCAGGTCTCCAGGGGAAGCTAAAAATCTAGATCCCCCCTCCCTTGTGCCACCCCCCCATTTTTTATTTTTTTAATAATAAGCATCCCTTTATTTGCTGACGCCATTACAAAAACTGATTACATTAGCAACAAAAAGTGTTTTCTTGAGTTGAAATCAGAGGCAGTTACTCCCCAAAATGTTAAGTAAAACAGTACACAGTATCAGTATTAAAATGTTAAATTTTACATTGTCTTTACCACTTTTGATCTTCTGAACAATTTTATTGAGCAAAATATAATAAAAGATTACATGTTTATTTTATCTTCAGGAATGTAAAGTTGTAATTATTCAAACAATTTTTTCAGTAGCCTATTCAAAGTTGTCAAAAACACAGGATGGACTGTGGTTTTAACCCAAAATCAACGTACCCTCCAAGAGAGCTGCCAGGAGAGAGTCCACAGAAAAGGGGGGAGGGCAGGGGCCAGGTAACACATTTCACAGAGTCCCGGAGGCCACAGGTGCTGCCCCTGGGCCTCTGCAATCCACACACTACCAGAGGGGAACGCAAAGCCCTGGGCCGCTTGCATCTCTGGGTCTCAACTCCTTGCCATTACTTTCTATCTTGACTGAATCAACCTCACATGCCTTGAACACGGGGAACATGATCTAGCAGGAGATATGAGGCCCAAGGGAGACTACACAGCACCCTGGTGGATTTAGGCCAGAGGTAGTATCCTTTCTTGCCCCTGGTCAGGGGTGGGGATGAGGAAGGGAGGTTGCAGAATGTCCAGGTAGAGATAATGCTGGGAAGGGCTCAGACTCAGGGCCGCCTTCCCAATCAGTCCTTAATTGGGGGGGGGGGGGGAGCAACATATTGCTAGCTATTGCTCAATGGGGATCTTCTCAATGGGGATCTTCTCAATGGGGATCTTCGCCAGGGAGAGCAGCAGCTCTTTGCCAGAACTGTTCAGCTCGAAAACAAATGGTTTCAAGTGATATAAGATCCTTTAAAGCACAAACTCGGGGGGGGGAAGGGTAAAAATAAAGCAAAATGCAGCACTTTCTAAGCACAGGGTGCTCAGGTCCGAATAAGGCATGTCAGTCCTAGAGATGGCATGTGTGCCCCTTGCCTCAAATCAGAGCCCGCTGTCCCCGCGAGGATGCAGAGGAAAGCACAGAACCCGCGAACAGATGCCTTGGCTTTGCACTCTGGCTCCACGGCTATTTAGTTAGTGACCCTGATCAAGTCCCTTGGCCTCAGCCTCTTCCCCTAGACGACGGGCAGTGGTGGTAGCGCCACGTTGGGGGCTGTGTGCCTCAGGTGCGCAGAGCTTTGCAGGCTTCCGAGCACCGAACACATGTTAACTTTCCTGCCTCTTGGGGATAATCTGATCATTAGAGGGGAGTCCTGACACTCCTGGGGCTCAATACTGAGTCAAGCACAAGGACTACTCTTCCCCTGGCCGCTGCTCTCCCTGGCTCCAATCCCCTCCACACCACTACCAGACAGCGCTTCTTTGCCAGCTGTTTCCAAGCCTGAAATCACACCGCCAGAGTTGTAAGGGCCTTGGATTTCCTGTAAATTTCCCACATCCACCTGAGGTAGCAGAGGGTGTTGTTACCATAGCAACCTGCACAGTTCAATTACAAAACTGGCCCCATCCCACCCCTCACGTCAACACCTGTGGCTGCTGGCGAACACTCCTAATCCTGCTTCTTAATGAGAAAATATTTGTTGACCTGATCTATTTTTCTTTTTCCAGAACGATTCCAGCCCTGAGGTCAAGATTCAGACTGTTGAGTCATCTGTCTTCACACAGGAGGTGATAACAAGTCAAACCATCATGCCAGCCTCACCTGGCCCAAAACTCCATCAAATTCACCGCCCTGCAAAGTTG